GTACTAACGGTACCGGTACGTACGAGATATATATATATATATATATATATATATATATATATATATGAAAGAGATAAAGCAAGCGAGATTGGGAAGACTAGTAAAGGATGAAATGTGTCTCCATTTCTTTTATGTTTCTCATTATTTTATATAGCTTCTCGAGGAATAGGACATGTGAAGTTGGGACATGATTAAAATGTGAGAGTGGGAATTGTCGCATGCTGATTCGTAGCATAGGGACAAGAAAAGGACAGCCACAGACCAATCAATCTAATGTGTATGGATGATTCATTCCCCCTCCAATGTTTTGATTTCTCACCACTAACTATAAATGCCTATAGAAAAAAATTAAAATATTTTTTTACAAAAGTAATAGATAAATTGATTTCTAATGAGGAGCTGATAAAACATGCAAAAAAAAAAAGAGACTTCCGCATTAGTTATAATATTAAACAATTCTACGATGTGAATAAAAAAATATATTTTGTGAAATTAAATATCTAATTCACTCTGTCAATAGTCAAATCGAATATGATATCTCACAAGAGATTTTATCTTTTTAATTAATTTTTATAGGTTGGATTAAAAAAAATAAATTAAATGAGGTATTTATCGAAAAAGAAATTTTTATTAGTTATATCTCCTCTGTTTGGTGGTCCATCATCATGATGTGATGTGATGCCCTCAACTTAACATGATTAAAATGCTAGATTGGAGCCATGTATGTGATAAATGTGAGAGTGGAAATTTGTAGCATGATGATTGGCAACAATCATGCTAAGGCCACCATCCAAGCTATGTCTCCTTGTGATTCCCCCATCATGCTCTAATTTCTCACCTCACCATAAGTAATGGTTGCTCCTTCTACCTCATATTTTGGATGAGAGATGTGGTGATTGGCCCATCAATTCAATTTGGTAATACGAGAAGATAATTTTTTAGTGATAAAATAGTCATAATTTTTAATACATCAATTCTTCTTCATCAACAATGAGATGAGATTAAAAAAATAATAATCTTTCTTTTGGACGCAACATTATAATGTGATTTTCTACCGGTAAACTTAGATAATTTAAGTTAATAAAATAAATTTGAAAAATGAATTCAATCAACTGTCAATCTGTCTTAACTTCGGAACTAACAAATCCATTCAACATCGTCAATTCAAAGGAAAGTAATATTTATATTTTATAAGTTAATAAAATATAATCTTTATAATAATAAAACTAAAAAACAATATTAAGCACATCAAATAAAATACTATAATATATATTTATTTGAAAAAAGTATAATAAAATAACGTTTTTAGCATCACTAATTGCACATGGGCGGCAGAAAAAGAGCACGTGAATCTTGAACGCTTCCCTTCTCCGACAAGATCTAGATGGAAAGATTCTCAAATAATTGTCGCATCAAAGAAGAAATCCGTTTCAGGATTCCATGGTGAGCACTAAGCTATCTTTACATCTCAGAAAAGAAGAGTTCTGCTGTTTTCTTTTATGCTTATTAATTTTTGAGTTTTTATTGAATAACCAAGTACTCCCAGAAAGCATTTCTTTAATAAGGAAATACAAGGAATCAGAAGAAATACTACGAGTAACAAGTTATAAATCATCAATGGAATTTGTATTGTGTTATCACAACAATTGTTGACCACAATCACTACAAGTAACAAGTTATAAATCATCAACCTAAAACATTTGTTGACCACAATCACAACAATTCAATCTACCAAACTTGCCTTCACATCAAATGGAGTCCTTTCAGTTCTAGCCAACACTAGGAACATCTACAATTATTTGTTCTGGAATCAGCTGTCACTACCATCATACCCAAAAAAATTCAGTACAAGATAAAGCATCACCGCGCAACAAAAGCAGGAAATGCACCACCCGTAATGCCCTAGCTGTGGCTGTCGCACTGCTGCAAGCAGCCATTCCCACTCGCAACATTGCTGATACCGATCGGAAGGATGCTTAGAAGAAAAAGAAAATGAGAGAATCGACGTCGGAAGAAGAAGAGGAAACTTTTACATTGCCTTCCATGGTGGTGGTTTGTTGTGTGGCGTCTAGCTGAAAATTATAGCTCCCATTTGCTCCTTTCCCTTGTTAACTAGTGCGTTAGAAGAAGAAGAAAATTTCAATTTGGAAAGAGAGAAAACAGAAAACCTAAGCTATACATACTTGATCAATCAATGGGTTACATCAAACAGAAGGAGAGAAATCACTCTACCTTTCCGATGAACAGCTTAAGAAAAGACCAAGCAGCGTCCATCCAGTGAATCTAGGTATCTTCCAAACTGATGCTAAGCAACAGGAGATTTGCATCTTGCTTTCAAGCCCATAACAAAGTGTTTCCAACCAGACGTGGGGCAGAATGATCATTTGACGGTCTGCAAGAACAGCCATGGTACCGTTGTTTTAGATGATCTCATGCTTATACTGTACTCGAATTTGCAGATTGTGCAGCCCTTCAAATAGAAAATCAAATATCAAAATTAAGCCGGCATTGAAATATTATAAAACGTTCCTGCCTCTATAGTTTTGATCCACAGCTAAAAATGTCTCACCTTGAACCAGAAAAGGCCGCTACTTCCTTTTGAGTGCAGATAAAGTCTGAACTGGCACCTGGATGCTGGTGTCGTTTACATGAAACCTGGCGCTATGGGCAAGGACAACTAGGCCAGCGGATGAAGAATATATAATGTGAGGAACATTGCTGCATATGTTGAAAATCTACCATGGTGCTGGAAACAGTAACCAGAGTCCGTGGAGGAAACAAAATTGGAGAGCATGAAAGCAATTGACGTTGTCCTTAGGAACATCAAGACATACACTTGTCAGGATGCAGTTAAAGTTAACAACCAACATAAAGCCAGATGACAAACCACGAAACAACTCAATGCTTACCTTGAAACAATGTGTGCTTTAATAATTGTGTAAATCTCTCATCATTTCACGGTTGACTAACTCGCAGTTTCATGACCTCTCATGAGCACTTGAAATTACTGTGTTCCAAAGCTGCAGACAGGAAACTGTCCATTAAAAGCAACAGAAATGACAAGATAACTCAAGAAGTTTGTACCCAGATCACTAAGAATTATGAAGCAATGAAACGAAATGAGTGACCTACCATCTCAGATGAAGGCTGCTTTCTGGTATTGTCCGCCTAGAGTAGTCTCTAATTCATCAAATTAAAACTAAAGAAACTTCAGAAAGGATAGTCACAATTAAAATGAAAGTTTGTAGGCAGGAATACGAAGAGTTTGTTTTTAAGTGGTAATGGTAACACAGGGATCCAGCCAATACAACATCAGGCATCAAATAGGCAACAAACTTCATCTACATGGAACGTTGAGAAACAAAACATTTCAGTTAACTCTATACTACTACAAAAAATAATGCCAATCTAATGACAAGATGAATTTACAAAATATATGCATACCAGCAAAATAATATGCACAAAATAGTACTTCAAAACCAAAGTGTGAACTTTACTCTTTCTTGTCGCCATCATGAAAGAGAGACCACGGTAGAAAACTCCTTTAACTTGTGATGAAGTTATTAGTTGTCTTGCATCTGATGCAAAAGCTGAGGTAACGTGTTCAAGCTGCTATCAATCCGTTGTTCAATCCAAGCAAGTCTTCTCTCAAATTTCAGGACCCCAAGATGCATCATCCGCATATCAACCTGAGCAACCTTTGCGCAAGCCCGTAATACTATGTAATAATCAGCATGTGCAACACAAATTAGTTTTCCATCTAATCTCTTTCTCTTATAGTGAAGATAACCATCTGTTCTCTTCTGAACTCTAGGAGGTAGGTAATAAAACCCACTCTCCTCCATGCTCAATTTCATTCTTTCCACTGCAGCATTTCTGGAAGGCGTCAAAGAAGAATTACAAAGAGGATCTTTCTCATTTGGATCAGCAGAGTTTGCAAAACCATCTCTGCTGGTTGTACCACCATAATCATCAGGTGATCTCTCTCTGATTATGTGTTGGCTACTTTTGCTCTGTTCCCTTCTTTTGAAATCAAAGAAAGAGGTAGCAGGTACTTCTCTCTGTCTCTTACCCTTTGAATCAAGAAGCTCATCTTTTAGACCCTCTTGTTGAATATCGTCCTGACACAAAGGTAGACTAAACTCACAAGATTGCCTTTGCTTGTAGTAGTCATAATAAAAAAATCAGAAATTAAAACAAGAAAACAAAACAATCATGGAAAGCGATCAAAGCAAACAATCTCAAATTGTTTTAGTTTGTGACTGCATGAAGTTTCAATTTAATTCCAAATTATTCATGCCAGGAGAAAGTGTTCCAGGTTAAATTTCATAGAAATGAGGAAGAGTGGCACAATTTAATTTTTATTTTTCATATCTTTTCATAACTTTAGAAGTAAAAGAATGTGACTAACTTTAAACCTGAACATCTAAACCTTGTAGCATAGATCGAAAGAGAATTTTATTACTATCAGGAGTATCCTTCTACACAATAATTTACAAGTGTACTGTCACGAACGGTCGTCGCGCACCCGCAACAACTTCGTTCAATGAACCGTTCGTCGCTTTTGCATGCTTGTACAGAGACATAACAACCTGTTTTACCTTGGTTTTGTGTGTTTTTGTTTGTAAAAATTTATGTTCGAATAGGTTGCAACGCTGCAGTGCGATCGCTCGCCGCGCCTGGCCGAACTGCCCCAAAATGGCTCCGTTTTCGTGTGCCACGACTTGTTTTCTGCAAGCCGCAACTACACACGAAACGTCAGTCATCTCAGCACCCTGGAACCCCCAGG